TAGTTCGATTTTGCTAATGTTAGTTTAAGTGGTATGTAATAACGCGTAATTCGCGAGGGGATATTGAATTTAATTTCACCAGTTAAAAACTGAATCAAACAGAATCAATTTGACCACGCAAAAGTTTTATGATAAAAATACATCTAAGCATTAATCTCCTTTTCTCTAGTGTAGGAAGATCGATAAGTTTAAGCCGATTCTCATAAGGTGGGAGAAGTTCATTTGAATTCCATCCTAAACCTCTCAGAGCAAACAAAAGAAATTGAACCTGTACAGACTCTATCTTTTTTGAATATATTTTATAAAAAGGACTCCAAAGTACGCAGCCATATTCTAAAGTAGGTCGAACAAGGCTGATAAATAAGCGTTTGGTTACATAAGGATCGTCGAATTCCTTTGACCAACGTTTTATAAACCCTAGTAAAGATTTTGCTTTATTAACACAAGACTCAATATGTAAATTAAAACGTAATTTATTATCTAATATGACACCAAGATCAAGAAACGACTCAACATTATCCAGTTTGTATGAACCAATGAAATAGTTGTAGTTCATATGCTGAGATCTATATAAGGACAATTTTTTACATTTTTTTAAATTTAATGACATTCCATTGACACTACACCAATGAGCAAGAGAATACAAGTCCTGTTGCAGATTAAGCGATTCGTTGTGGGAATCAAGAGTGCAGAAAAGTTTAACATCGTCAGCAAACATTAATATTTTTGAATTACGAATAATAGATGGAAGGTCATTTAAATAAAGTACAAAAAGTAGTGGACCTAAATGGCTACCCTGAGGAACACCAGAAAATACTGTAATATTTTTAGAGAGAGTATTATTAAAAGATACCTTTTGGGTACGGTCATGCAAATAAGACGATATCCATTTTAGGAGAATTGTAGAGAAACCCATTAAGTCAAGTTTATATATTAACAAATTATGCACCACCGTATCGAAAGCTTTACTGAAATCAGTATATATAATATCAGTTTGGAGATTTTTTGAGAATCCAGTGTGAACATTAGAGACCAGTTCTAATAAATTTGTCAAAGTTGATCTTCCTTTAACAAAACCATGCTGGTGCGGTGATACTATAGATGTAACGAAATGAGTTATTCGTTGTGTAACCAAACGCTCAAAAAGTTTGGGAATTGCACTTAGTTTTGCAATGCCCCTATAATTTTCAATAACACATCTACTGTCAGCTTTATGTAATGGAATAATAAAGCTCGAACGCCAAATAAGAGGAAAATACCCTAGGGTTAACGAAGTATTAAAAATACTTGTTAGAGGAAGATATAGTTCATGTGCACATGCCTTTAAAATGAAAGACGGTACACCATCTGGACCCGGTGAATTAGAACATTTCAATGAAAGTAGACCTTTCAACACTTCATCTGATGTGAGAATAATATGAGGAAAATTATTAAGTTTATTAATACTATAAGAGTATTTTACACCTTTATTAGAATGTTTGGAATACGTACTTTGAAAAAAATCTGCAAACATGTCTGCTATTTCCTTAGGTTCACACGATTCTCTACTTCCGAATCGCATACTACTGGGAAATTCACGAACTTTTCTTTTTGAATTAACGAATTTATAAAAGTTCTTAGGATTTTTATAGAGGCTGTTTCTCATCTTGACTAGGTATTCAGAGTAACATTTAGAATATTCAGTGTTGTATAAACTTCTAGCTTTTGTATAATTAGTAAGGTTTATGGTAGAATTGATTTTTTTAAATTTTTTAAATAACCTGCTTTTTATGTTACGTAAGCGCCTAAGTTGTGGGGTAAACCAAACTGGACCCCTATCACAGCACATTTTCACAAGTGGGACTGAGGTTTCTAATGCATTGTTAATTATTTTATAAAAGCTTGAAATACGAAAATCCAAATTGAATACATCTTGGCACGATATTGCTAACACTTGTTATGGTGCAAATGCTGGGCAGCTAGCTATAAATGAAAAAAAAAAAACTGGAAAATACTGGAAATTGGCGTGTCATAAATTCTTTGACTAAGAACAACGGGGTGGTCCTCAAAGGTCTTCCTAAGAATCAGAGGGGGACTGCTAAGCCTTGGGATCCCCTTTTGCTTCTCATAAAGCAAGTAGTAGTGGACAAGGAGTCTGGTCTAAGCCAAGACCTCGGCTGTGGGCCGTATCTTGGTCTAGAAGCCCTATCTTTTTATCAATAAGGTTTTTAGGTTAAATGGTAAAAACTATACGAGTTTCGAAAAGAAAGTTAAATCTAATTCTTCTTTCCAATTCCAGTCAGGCTAGAACACTACTGATGTCTGCAATTTACATCCCTTACCCATAAAGTTGTCTTGAAGAACATTATTCTAAGATGTGACGCGAACACCTATAACTTTAATTGGAGAATCAATATTTTATTCTCAACGATAATCTTAGAGCAAATAATAAGTGTTACACTCCGACATTTCAGAATAGTGTAAGTCATTAACATCACCCTTTTCAATATGGACGGGTCCAAGTGGAAGGTACCTGAAAAGTGTTCTTTCTCAGATCACAGATCATATTATTTTACGTGGCTAAATTCGGTTTTAGTCAGACATCATAAAAGAATCACTAAACGCTGCAAAGACTGAACTTGTACTACTCTCGACAACTAAGGCAATATGGATATCAACAGCGGCACAGCGAACTAAAGCTTTGGTGCAAATTGAATTAAGGGGCTATGCTCGGATAATTTTCAATTTTTTAAAGCTCGTAGGTGCTTAAAAACCGATTACGGCAAAGTAAATTTTGTGGAAGAAATATGCGACTGCCCGGTTATTCGACCCGGAAGTTCGGAGATCAGGTTAATAAATCGGTTAAGTAGAATCGTATAAAAACCTGATTTTGTATTTGAACTTTCGGGTTGAATAGCTGGGTATAAAAATAACTCAATTTATTGAAGCAATTTGAGTTTAGGAGGAGAGTAGACTCAAATTTGGGCTTAACTCTAGTTTAGCAAAAACTCTTCAATTTTTTCGAATTTTTTCAGTACCTAGGACCACTGAGTGCCGGTTCAAGACACCGACTAGACCCGGATACAATTACCGGGTATCGTTGGAAAATACCTAACCAACAACTGGTCACGGTTTGGAAGTTATAGTCAAATTATCGATTTTTTGGACCCGGATTTTTTATTTAACAAAATTGATGCCAAATTATAGCTGACACTCTTACCTTTACAAAATGCTACAATTTGTGATAATACCTTTTTCGAGTCCAGAGATATGGCTCCTTCCATCCGCACAAACCGATTCTAACCAGTTCATTAACATTATGTTTTCAGTAAAAAAGGTTTATTTCGCAAAAATTTCGGTTTTTTTTTTTCAATAAGAATTTTTAATTCCAAAAGACATTCTGAAACAATTCTATAAAAAAACCCATATCAAATTAAAACAGTCAATTTTTCAGCTTTTAATTGCATTTGAGCATGATAATCTCTGTCGTTCCAACCTTACTGATCCAAAAATCAATGAATTGATAGTGAAAGTCAATCGGTTGGCACAGGAGCATAAGAGTAACCAGTAAAGAAAGCCTTAAAGTCGGGCGGGACCGACTTTATGATACCCTACACCATTTTTCTAATTTAGTAGAGCTCCATATAACAATTAAAAGTTTTTATGGGAGAATTCAATCATACACGCTATGATTATAATTATAATTTAAAGTTCAAAGGACTAAATATGCCAAAGCATTTGTATCTTTTAAATTCGGACTTGTATTGATCATTTGGTGCACAATTAATTTGAAATCGGATAAAGATATATATGGGAGCTATATCCAAATCTGAACCGATCTCGATAGAATTTGGCAAAGATATTTCTGAGCTGTATTTGATATATATCCCTGAATATCATTGTTACGGTGCATATTACGGCTGCGGAGGACAAAAATAACAAATCGGATGAACAATATATATGGGAGCTATAGCTATATCTGAACCGATTTCGATCAAATTTGGCATACTTATTTTCAGACCTAATATGGTTGTATGTGCAAAATTCCATACTATTCGGGCTGATATTACACGTTTGGTGCACAATAAAAGGCAAATCGGACGAAGATATATATGGGAGCTATATCTAAATTTTGACCGATTATCTCCAATTTCAATAGGGTTCGTCCTTGGGCCAAACAAATGATCTGTGCAAAATTTCATCTGGATAGGGCAATAAAATCGAACTGTACTTTGTTTACAAAAATACATGGACAGACGGAAGGACGGACGGACATGCATAAATCGACTCAGAATGTGATTCTATGCAGATCATCAAAAGGAACTATGGGTCTATCTCGTTTCCTTTTGCCTGTTACAAACAAATGCACAAAGACATAATACCCTGACCACCTTGTGGTGTAATTCCAAGGACGGCTACGCGAAATAAACCTTTTTTACTGAAAACATAATGTTAATAAACTGGTTAGAATCGGCTTATGCGGATGGGAGGAGCTATATCTTTAGACCCGAAAAAGGTTGTTGATCCCCATAATGGACCCTTTTTGGACTTTTTGGGGGTTTTATAAAAAATCCGGGTTCAAAAAATCGATCATCATGTGACAACTTGTTGCTTATGTATTTTGATAAGCTTTCCAACTATACCTATATTGTCTATACCGGGTTCAGGCCGGGTCTTGAACCCGGACTTTGGGGTCCCGGGTCCGTACCCAAGAAAAAAATAGTTTCCCGGAATCGGGGTAACAATACCTATCTCTGGGAAAAATTTCGGAAAAATCGAAGAGTTTTTACTAAACTATAGTTGTTCCCAAATTTGTTGCTACATTCAATTAATTGTACCATGGTGTGAAGTTAGAATTGAAGTATGTGTAAAAAATCGAAATATGTCTACATCCGTCTGGCCGTCAAGAACGAACATACGACTTAGAAAAAAAATTTTCGGTAACCCAAAATAATTTAGCAATGGATAATGCATTAATACATGTTCCTAATAACAATGTTCATATCAATACATAATATCACCTTGCTACATCCGGGGCGTCTGCATCATCCTTTGTTTCACCTTTCTTCTCTATTTCCAAATTGCTAACCTAAAACAATAAATATATTCATACACATGCATTAAATGTCTAAGCAATGTAAATACAACATTATTACCAACTTAGACACCTGATCTTCAGCCTTTTTAGCCCAATCCATAGCTTATGACTTTGAATTCGGAATCACGTCTTAAAAATCAAATCGCCAGTCACAGAAAAACGAGAAAGCTTATGACCAGAGGGCGAAGCCGATGTGAAATTCCCGGCGGCGGGGGCATAGCACAAAAAAGTCGACGGCGGCTAAAAGCCGACTGCAGCAGAAAGGGAATTGGCGGCGGCACGTCTTAAAAAAATCGCCAGTCGCAGAAAAACTAGAAAGTTGCTTATGACTAAGGGCCAGAGGGCGAGGCCGATGTGAAATTCCCGGCGGCAGCGGCTAAGCACAAAAAAGGCGACGACGGGTAAAAGTCTGCAGCCGAAAGAGAATTGGCGGCGGCGGCTAAAGCAAAATACGGCCGCCGGCGGCTAAAAGTCGGCTACAGTCGACGACTTTAACTTAACAAAACTTCAATAATTCTTACAAAAATAAACTAATTTGATAAAAATGGTTCGACGGCCGCATTGTTATGAACAAACAATTGTATTTTTGAATATTGCAGAGTACAGGCTGTTTGTCTTTGCATTAACAGAATTATTTAAATAAATAGTTTTTAATAAGTCTTTGGCACATTTTATAAATCTTTTATTAATACTTCTCCTACTTTTGATGAACAAGCAAAACAATGACTTTTTTGCAAATCATGTATCTGCCACTCCATCAAAATTCGTAAAATACCAAAGGTTGCCAAAGGTTTTGTAATAGAAAATAAATGCACAAAGACATAATACCCTTACCACTATGAAATAATAAGTTTATTAATCGATACAATCGATAAGATTAAAAGGCATATTTATACAAACATGCTGCATGCATTTTTTTCGACGGCTTAGCCGACTTAGTTGGCTAAGAATTTGAGCCGATGAGAGCCGCATGCATCGGCTGCGGCTCAGATGACTTAAAAAAAGTCGGCGGCGGCTGTGCGCCGACTGCAAGCCGATCGGCTCAATTAAACAAATATGAAGGGCACAAAGGAATACTTGACAAAAAATAATCGAAAGAAAAGACTCGGGGTACTCTGTTGTTTACGAATGAGACATCAGAAAATTGAACATCTTCACTAAAGAGCACGGAACTAGTTGCTACTATCGTTTGCCGAACTCGACTATGAACTATCGACTATTCATAGTCGATTGTTCGACTTATGCTATGTTCTCATTGCAATTTCAATCACGTTGTTCACGGTCAGAATTAAGTACATGAATTAACCCGTTCATACGGCACGATTCGTAATTCATTCTAACATAATTCCTTCTTTCAAATCTTTGGATTGTTGATTTTTTTAATTAGCATTAATAATAATAGAAGAAATTACATTACATTTAACAATTTTCATTCATGTTTTGAACTTTTTGTATAAATGTTGACATTTTGCACACATTTTTCATTATTCTGTTTAAAATTTGGTTAGATAATCACTTGCTAATAATTTTTTTGTCGATACAAAAATTTTGAAAATTGTGCCCTTTTGTTTCCATTTTTCTGTCGAAATTCCAACACGTTGACAAAATGCGTAACTCAGATGACAGAGAAAACAAAATTTACTTTCGTTTGAATGCGCATACGCCATTCAACATTATATCCTTCTTTCATAATTTTCAGTCCTAAAATTTTAGAATTTCATTAATTTTTCTATTTTGAATTCTGAAATGTCACAATTTATTTTTTCGTTAATGATGAAATACAATAGTTCTGAAAGTGATTTGAATGGAACAAAGAATTTTGTGTGGGCAATCAAATTTTGTGACCTTAGCTTTACCTCACTCACTGTTTTTTTTTAAATTCCTGTTCAACTAATGTGTCCAATACCGTCCCACGGTCACGGATCACGTTGTTGAACAAAAAAGGGAAGGATGAAAATAATGTAAGGTGGTTTACACACCGTTGGAAAAAAACTGTGCAGAAACACTTGAATTGACGGGAGTTTATGGCCGGTTATTACATCTTGCCGATAGATAAAAAGGTTTATGTGTCCGACAAATAAATCGTTTTTCGTTATTACAAGTTTCATTAAAGTATGAACTGTCCGATAAAAAAAAGGTCAGACCATCTTTTCTTTATCTTTTAACATAAAGTTTACAGAATTCATGTTGGCATATTTCTTATTGATAATATGGCAATAACAGCAAAATGTATTTAAATAAAAATGGATAACGCAAATCGTTTATTTTATATTGAAGAACTGAATTAAAAATTTATTTCACAAAATAAAATACCCATTTGCGTTTTGTTTATAATTTTTAAACGAAAATGAAGATGCCATTGTGAAAAAATTCAGTGAATACCAGTTACTTCAAAAAAACCTTGCCATATCTTTTTAAAAAATGCATATATCTTTATATTGTTGTTGTAGCAGTAGTACATGTTCTGCTAATCCGGTTCAAGCTCAATGTTTAAAAATTCTGCTACCTTAAACGGCTGTAGCCAGAGATCTTCTGGAGTGAGTTGGGTAGGTTTGGCTGTGCAATTAAAGAGGTGCTGCGTATTGTACAGGCCTGTATCACACGCCGGGCAAACGTCACGCATCTTAGTCAACTCGGCCCAATACGAATTGAGACGACTACACCATCCTACCACCATCTAGGCAGCTGGTGTTCTTCAGCTGCAATGGATGGGGGTGGACCCAGAGGACGGCATTCATTCTATAACTGCTAATAGCATCCACGACTGCGTCGGTATGAATGGCACTCAGACGTGCTTGATGGACTTCTTAATATAGATGTTCTCTTTTATAACGTTGGACCTCCCACGCTAAATCGTGTATGTCCTTCCTGGCACGCCTGGGTGGGGGAGTAGTATCCACCATATGATGATTGGGGTGACTCTCGTGGTAAGGAAAGGACTTTCGCCTCCTATGTAATTGTCCACTGGTGTCATGAGAAGGCAACCGCACTGGAGCCGCATAGCTGACCACAGACCGACCTATCGCGTTATAAGAGGTCAACAAGGTTTCCTTGTCCGTACCCCAAGTGCTGCCGGCTAGCGCCTTGAGGACCTTGTTCCTACTTTAAATAGTTCCGGACAAAATACTTTGTACATGCTTTTGAGTGCGGTTGAGACGCTGGGAAAATCTATCAATAAAGAATAAATATTTTAATATTACATATTTCCCAGCGCCATAAAATACAATATGTGAACAATTCGGTGATCTTGTGCGCTAACGCATACGATAATGTGTGATATAATGAAGGTTATGAGGCACACGCACAGACATTCATGCGCTCAGTAAATGTACAAGACCACTTGAATGAAATGTCAAGCAGCCCTGCAATGTTCTCCATTCAATATTAGAATAAATAAGAATAATTGTGTTGCTGCGATTAGGTTAAGTTAGATTAGTTTTTGTAGCACTTAAGAAACATATTTTGAAATTGAATTGAACTACATCAGAATTGAAACTACGTTCAAAGAATAAGGTTGTTCTTTCTTTTCTCATAGAATTGACAATCGAAGTGGGAGATTGGATTCTATTCTCAAAACATTGGTCCTTCGAGCTGGATCAAAAATTGAATCAACAGCCAAAACATTTGGTTGGTTTTCTTTTCACGCTTTCATTGGTCAATCGAGCCTTCGCTTTTGTCAAAGTGAAACGAATTAGCGACCACAAAACGAAAATAATAGTTTTCCCCTACCAGTGGTAAGAGACTCACTACAAATAGAAGTAGCTATTCTTTAAAAAAGAGGAGAACTGCCACCAAAAGAAGTCCGCTGAGACATTTTAAATGTAAGACGGTAGGGTATTTTAAGAAATTGTCGAAGGGACAAAATTGACTGAAAAAGCCATAGTGCAAAAATAAACAAGTAAGCAAAAGCTATAGTCGTGCGGTGCCGACTATGTGATACCCTACAACACTACAATATGTTAACAGCCCCCTTGTTCCATGTTCAAATTCATTTTGAAGGATTTCGCTTTTGAACTTATGTCATGTCTCACTGCCCAGTTATTACCCTTAGCAATTTGACCAGGGACATTTGCCCAATATTTACGCACTTCGTCGTGCTGTTAGTTCTTGTGGTCCATTTTACAGCTAAATTTAATCCAATGGTGAACCAGGAGTGTCGATTAACTTCAATTGTGTGATCAGGATTTTTTTTTCCGTTTTTGGTTCATTTGAACCCCTAACTATTTTGCGATCATCGCCAAAAGCATAAGGCCCCTCTGTATCTCCAAATTTAGACTCGTCTATATGATTTGCTTGTCTACGATATTTGTATGGTATTTTTTCACACAAAAGTAGTGGTCCATTCTACCCGCTGTATCCTTTGGATTCTATTTGTGATCTTTATAACAGCTACAAAATCAGCAACATTTTTAGTTGTTGGTCCATTTCAACCCCTAAATATGTTGCGGACATCCTTTAAAACAATAAGCCTAACATTTCTGAACCTAACCTACCCTTTTTTCGTGAGGATAATTGCAATCTGTATATAATAACCCCAACTTGTGTTGTATAATGAAAAAATATTACAAAATGTATTCTTCAATATTATAAGTCAAAATGAATGAATCGCATGCGATAAAAATTATGAAAAAATAAAAAAAATTCACAAAATACTACAAAATCTTTATTTACATCATTATTGACATCTTTTTATGCGATTTTTTTTTTAGATTTTATTCTTTTATGCCAAGAGGGCATTCCGAATTGACAAAATTTGTCAAAATAGAGCCAGCCATTCTTGAGATATAAGCATTCTAGCTAAAATCCCCTTCCTTTGTATATACACATTGTATATATTTCGCAATATGTATCCGATATATTTACTATCGCGATCTATATAATGCTCAGAATCGACCGGTTCGTCTATTTGTGATTTCGCTGAGATCAAAAATATTCGCGGTTTAATGAAAAATTTGACTTTTATTTAACAGAAATGTTATGGTCTGTATCACCCACTAAATATTACCCGATGACCGCAAAATTGGGAGGCTTCTGCCCTGCCCTAAGCTCTAGCCCCATGCTAACTTCCGCGTTGATTGGTCTATAACTGCGACCTGTAGGGCAACTGCAAAATCAGGATTTTTTCAGTTTTTGGTCCATTTCAACCCCTAAATATTATGCGATCATCTCCAAAAGCGTTCTATTCTGGCTATAGCCCCACCTCCATTCTAAATTTCGTGAAGATTGGGCCATAATTGCGACCTGTAGAGTGATTACAAATTAACATGGACAGACGGACGGACGGACATACATAGCTAGATCGACTTAGCTCGGCGAGATAGGGATATCTATATATACTTTCCTATGTGGGAAATCAACATTTCGAGGCGTTACATAATTTTTGGCCAATCAAACTTATAATACCCCAACACATAGTGTTGTAGGGTATAAAAAGTCATAGAGGCAGAATTTAAAAATATATACATATTACAAAAAAGACCCAAAGGGCAAATATTACAAAACACGTCATTGGGGCAAAACCAGTCACAAAGAAAAAAT